TATATATATATATATATATATATATATATATATATATATATATATGTATGTATGTATGTATGTATGTATGTATGTATGTATGTATGTATGTATATATATATATATATTATTTTAAGAAAATTTTATTGAAAAAACAAGGAAAGCGTACAAGGGGAGGGATGGGACGGGTCCCTACAAGCAATCCCGGCCCCAAAGTAAAGTGAAAAGATCTAGGTAGAACAAACCAAAATGAAACAAAACAAAAGGGCACAAAGTAAGGACTGGGAAATAAGAAGACAAAAGCATTCTGCCTCAACTATCAATCAGCCCGTCTTGAATTTTGGAGACCCACACTGTCATCTATCTCTTGAAATTTTGCTTCACTTCAAGCATGTCCATGTGAGCAATCCAGCAAGGAAGAGGACCCTTTCCTCTAGTTAGTCCAAAAAGGCCAGCAATAGCCCCAACCTGGAACTTCCCAACGCAAGAAAAAGTAATCAGATTGTGTGACTACAACCTAATAACCAAGAGATATGTCTGCCTCCAATTCCCAAGACTAAGATTCCTGCAAGCCATTAAACAGAAACTCTTATTTTGCCAGTTTGGGTGTTACTCCATGATCTGCCTTTTCATTATTTTAATGACAAGGCCTTAACTTTGATCTGCAAACCCATTGGGAAATATCTTGGTATGGACAAAGCCACGTGGGAAGGGATCAAGCCAAATCATGCTCAGGTTCGTGTTGAGATGGATCTCCTAATGCCTTTGGTGTCTAAAGTTTTTATTGGTACTTCTGTGGAGGAAGGTAAAGAGGATCAAGGTTTCTTTCAACTTGTGGAATATGAGAAAATCCCTTATTATTGTATTCACTGCCGAAGACAAGGGCACTCGTTTGAGAAGTGCAAACTTTTAGAGGAATACCATGCCTTTGAAGCTAGAAGAAAGGGGAAAGAACTCGCTCATGACACACGGCAGAAGAGGGAACGCAGCAAAAGTCGTGGACGGGAGGAACCCAAAAAGGTTTACATTGCAAAAACCACTACCCAAGTAGCTGAGCTCACACCTGGTGAAACTGCAGCCATTCCCCCTCCTCATTCTGCCATTTCTGTGCCCAACCCCATGCAAATTGGTCCCAAAACCCTTACCCATGTTGGTTCCAAAAACCCCACTGCCGAACCCCTTGCAATTAACCTGCAAAACCCACCCCATGCCACCCAAACCCCATCTGCCATTGAAACCCATACCCCTGCCCACCAAATTCCTTCTCATGAAAACCCTTTACCTGAAGCCTCCACTGCCAAAAACTTTGAATCCGTATCCCCAGCCATGAACAACGATATTCCCTCTCCCATGCAAAAACTCCTTCTCCCCTCCAAAAACAATGCAAGCACACCCATGCAAAACCCATTCCAATCCGTAACTCCAGATCCTAAAAACCATACCCCTGCCATGCCAATTCCCTCACATACCCAGCCCATGCAAAACACCCCCCAAACCCCTTCTGTTAATCCCATGCAACAACCTCAGTCAACCCAAACCCAACACCCACACTTACAATCGACAGTTCCCATGCAAACCCTTCCCATGCAACCCCAAAACCCCATTCAACATATTCCCATGCAAACCCCACCCTCCCTCCCTCTGTTTGACCGAAACGCCTCTAAAAACTCTTCTAAAAATTTCATTGCCGAGGCCATAGCTTCTTATAAGTCGGGGTTGTTGTCCCAAGCTGCCCTTCTCAAAATCTTGCACGAAGGC